AACGAAAAAGGAGTTCGTTGGCCGATTTCAAAACACATCTATACCAACTGGAGCACAGTCTTAATAAATGCTATAATGGTGGCAGTAAATAAATGCAGTTTGGAGGCTTATATAAACATGTGCCATCGATGTTGCTCAAATGACGAAAAACCTGAATTTGTAGTTCTTCAGCTTTATTGTGCTCATTTTATACGTATGTGCGAGAAGGACATTAAACAATTTTTTAAGGATACAAATATATGCGATTAAAAAAAAACAAATATGGAAGTGCCTTAATATTAGGAATTATTCCACTTTTTTATCATGGGTTTAACATTTTTTCATTGTTTTGATAAACCCAAAGAGAACAAGACAAGTTGAGAAGTCTCATAATTTTCTACAAAATTTCATGTCAAACCCTATTTCAAATGATACAAAAGAAAATTATGTAATGGAAGATTCCGATGAAAAATAGATACCTGACAATGTATAAAACGTATAAAAATAGTCCTTTTTATAAGGAAGTTATGTTAATATTTGACGAAATATCAGTCGACGGCAACGAAAAACGACTAGATAATGATTTTTTTTCGCGAATCTTTTGTTGGTCTAGCCATTAGAAAATACTTCTCATATACTCCACTTTGGACAAATATTATGGGATTTTTTATTGATAAGGAGGATACCCGTATATCAAATAGCGCGGTGAAGTCCTATTTTAATATAAATAATATAATTCTTAATTTTAAGAAAAATGTAAGGCCAACTGAATACATTCGTCGTTCGAAGGAATACCTTGAGGCAAAATTAAAGGAAGCTGAAATTTGCATGGAGGATTATAAAAAAAGTACCCCGGAACCAGAATTTAATAAAAATTTATAATGGAACAAGAAAAATGGATGCATACCCCAAGAAGAAACAGTAAAAAAATTGGTTTATACAGAAAAAATTGTTAATATTACAGATATGCCACGTAATAAAATAAATCAACGTTATATTTTAAGATTTCAAAATATAAGAAGACAACTAAATATAACAAGAATTTCACCACCCACAATAGACTTAAATGAATACAAACATTAATTGGGAAATAATCAACTGTATGGAAACAAAATAGACATTTATTTGGAAATGTTCATCCTTAAGTCAAATAAACGATGTTACTCTTTAAGCTGTGACGAACACCCAACTAAAAAATTTACGAAATAATTATAATTTTCTATTTATACCAGTATTTGAACCGGGGCATTTTACATTAGTGTATATTGACATGAAACAAGAACTTTTCACATACATTAATCCACTAGGTGAAACATTGGCAGATGTTCAACGATTTTTGGAAATATATCTTTTACTCAGGTAAAATACAAACGCATTAAGATTGACCATAGTTTACAAAAGGACGGTGTAAATTGCGGGGTCATTGTATGTCAATATGTAGAAAGTTTGCTGCTTGATGCAGATTTGAATAAAATAAAACCTCACCATGTATATAGAACAATTATGAAGAAAGTTCTAAATGACAATGCTGACATGTCAGGGGTTTGTTTACACTGCGGGTTGGATGGAGATAAAATATGTGCTCAAGCTGCGAACGGCCATTCTGTAATGGATGCTTCCAATACTATTACAATGGCAAAAAATGGTTTAAAATTTATATTTTGTTCATAAATAATACTTTATCTGTGTTAAAAAGTATAGCTGATAACATTTAAAATTGTTGTTTAAAGTATTTTAGAAAGTTTTATAAATAGGAGCATTTTTGCAACCTCGCAACCTGCAATGTAAACATATTTCTACCATTCTGTCGGAATTGTTCTTTAAAGCAGTTTCAATGACTGTTCGATATAAATCTGCGTCTAGTAACAGACGATCAACGAATTCTCAAACAAAGACTCCACAACTCACACCATTATTTTTAATACTATGCTTTAATATAATGGGTCTATAATCCAATTGTGTAGGAGATATAAAAATATTTAAAAATTGCTTAATATTGTACACATTTTCCACAATGGGATTTATGTAGGTGAACATTTTTTGCTTAGAGTCAATATAAACTAGAGTAAAATGTTCAAACACTGGTATAAATATTTATAATTTTCTATAATTTTTTTATGTTGTATGTAAGTTTTATTTATAAAAATATTGGCACCATCCTCACAACTTAATGAATAACTTTTTTTCCTGACTTCAAAATAAAAATTTCTATGTATATGTCTATTATATTTTTGTCATATTTCCTATTAATTGGTTAAATTAATATTTTCCACATTTTCTACAATGGGGTTTATGTAGGTGAATATTTTTTTGCTTGGAGTCAATATAAACTAGAGTAAAATGTCCCAATGTTGTATGTTGTTAGCAGTTTTATTTATAAAAAATATTGGCACCTTCCTGAAATGAAATGAGATCGTACGTGTTTTTCTGAGTACGTACAAGTTGAAAAAGAACGCTGAAGTAATATTTAAAGTGTTTTTACAATATTTATTTAAAAAATACAGTATTTACATTAGTTTTTATAGTAAAATTAAAGAAAATAAAAAAGGGCTCCTTTTATCAAAAACAGCGCGTAACATTTTTGAGATCAATTTGGCAACTCAACCACCATATGATCAAAATAAAATTAGAATCTATAAAAAATCTACTTTTAAGATTTCCAATAATCCTTTTAATAATGTTTCTTGCAGATGTGTGCACTTTATTATATCGATGTTGACAAGATCCATGCTCCACTTGTTTATAGGGCGTCAAAAAATGTTTCTAAAGCGTAACCACTGTCTCATAGAAGCCAACTATTTTGCGTACCATTTCCTCTTTTGTTAATGCTGCCTAGCTGCATTCATATGCAAAATAAAAGCATCATGGCTAGATCCTGGTCTGCAGCTGTCCACAGCTTGCACACGCTTTGTCTTTCAGGACTTTCATTACTCTCCACAATATTTTACACATTGTTGTGCGATCAACACTTATATTTAAATCATTTGCCACTACCCTCTGAAACCCACCAACAGCCAGAAATCTTAAGATACCTGCTAACTGGAGGCTTTCGGGAATGGCACCCTTGTGTATGAAAGGACCCATTTCTCTCAAAATATCCATAAATGCTTATTTTAACACGTTCCAGTATCATTAGACTTTTCTGGTAGAAACCAGGGCAATTAATAAGCCAGCAGGGATATTTTTTCTTAATTTTGTTTGTAAACAAATTGAAAATTCCAATTTTTTATTGAACACATTTCGTAACATATTGAACACAGCTATGCTTTCAACTCTCGGAACATGTCACATGGGCGAATGAATATCTTTTTTTCCTGACTTCAAAATAAAAATTTCTATGTATATTTTCTGCATATTTCCTATTAATTGCTTAAATTCATCCGTATCAATGGGGGGTGTAGAAATTCTTTTTATATTTAATTCCCTCCGTATGTTTTGGAATCGAAATAAAATATATCGCATATTTAGTTTAACTCGTGGCAGATTTCAATATTTTTATTAGCTAGGATGAAAGTACTCTCCATTAGTTTTCCGATGATACCCATGTTGTCCCGAAGAATTTTACTGGAAGGAGCAGTGGACAAAGTAATTATACTTGCCCCATTATACCCCCAACTCGGGCGGTATTTTTCAATATTCTATTAGCTACGATGAAAGTATTTTTATTAGCTACGATGAAAGTACTCTCCATTAGCTTCCTATGTTGTCCTGGCAGAATTTTCGTGGAAGGAGTAGTTGACAAAAAGAGCTATGTAATTGTCTGGCCACATATGATGCCATTACGAGTGATTCATAATCGTGGCCACACTCTCCTTCGACAACCATATCCACAGCATGCACAATACGCCTCATCGAGCACATCTAAAAAAGAAGAAATCAAATTCAATATAGAAGGGATCATAACAGGTAGGATTCGAATCACTACTTACATTCAATGGGGAGATATGAGAGAATGAGGAAGAGGAGCTGGAGAAACAATTGATAATTTAATATCCTTGATGATTGTTGGTGGAGGAGGAACGAAATAGTCATTCCGGATTTGGACTGTCACTGCAAGATGGACTTTATTTTTAATTTTTTCAACAGATTTGATGGTAAATAAAAATAGCCTGTCCTATTCGGTAAACCTAGCCCAAGCTTTTAAAAATGTGCGTTGTAAATGAAAATTCACCACATGACCATATATGAATGTTGAATTTACTTTAAAAACCAAGACACAAACCAATGAGAAGGGGTGCAGCATCAGATTTACCCACTGCTGGTCGTGGTGGGTGGTTGTATCTCAGTGATGTCAAGCTTTTTTTTACAGATGTCGCTAAGGTGGTCGTCGCATATTGTAGCTTACTGAGGCACATCGCCGTATACCGGAGGAGGATTACTTTTCCTTTTTCAACGTTCAAAATAATAAAAAAAAAAAACAAATTTAACTTCGCTTTATAAAAAGTTATAAAATTTATTTGTTGTTTTTTTTTTTTTTGTTTTTGTTGTTTTTAATAAACTAATGTAAATTCAAATACATTTCTGGTTAATATTATATATAAAAAAGTAATGAATATGAATTAAAAAAATATGTCTTAGATAATTTGTTCATCTTTAGTTCTATTTGTGGGGGTGATGGGTGTTGGGATGAGGAGATTATCCTTTTTTGTATTCCGACACACCACATTTAAATAATTTAACAAAAGTGAAAAGAGAAACCTCAAATTTCTAAGAAGAATGATCAGTCGCCTACAATTTTACATCAAAAGGGAACTTGTGAGTGTGTGTGAAGTGGGAACAATAATTAATAATAAAATAAAATGTGAAAAACACGATAAATAGAGTTCAATATATATAAATCAAAAAATGTTGTCAATTCAAATTTAAGGAGTTATAATGGGAGGGGGTTGGTGTGAGTGAAGGGGGCTCAGTAGAGTAAAAATTTGTTTTCTTTACTGAAACCAGTTCAGTGTAATAATTGATGATGAGGTACATAGAAAAGGCGACAAGTAGTATTTTCGGTCGTTCAGTTCTTCCTTCTTCTAATTCCATTCCTCTTCTTCTTCCAGGGCAGCCGGTCCCGATGAAGTAACAAAATTGTCATCATTCTGAAAAACAAAAAAAAAACAATTGAAAATAAAATTTAAATTAATAGGGGCTGGGGTGCTTGGGGATTGTCATAGAAGACCAAATGGGGCTTCTCATAAAAGACCAAATGGGGCTTCTTATAGAACTTTTCAATAGTAGATCAAATGGGGCTTATTATAGAATACCAAATGGACTGCTCCCAAGAAGACCAAATTAGGTTTCTAATAAAAGACCAAATGGGCTTCTAATTTCAATAGAAGACCAACTAGGCGTCTAATAGAAGACTAAATTGCGTTTTTAATAGAAGAACAAAAAGGGTTTCTAATAGAAGACCAACTAGGATTCAAATAGAAGACCAACTAGGCTTCTAATAGAAGTCCAAATATGCTTCTAATAGAAGATCGAATAGGATTCTAATAGAAGACCAACTAGGCTTCTAATAGAAGACCGAATAGGCTTCTATTAGAAGGCCAAATTGGCTTTCAAATAGAAGACCAAATATTCTTCTAGAAGAATAAGAAGGGCTTCCTATAGAATATCACATGGACTACTCATAGAAGAAAAAATAGGCTTCTCATAGAAGACCAAAAAGGCTTCTCATAGAAGACCAAATTGGCTTCTCATAGGAGACCAAATGGGCCATCCAATAGAAGTCCAAAATGTCTACCTTTAAAAGACCAAATTGGGTTTCTAATAGAAGACCAAATAGGCCTCTCATTGAAGACCAAAAGGTCCTTTCAAAGGAGAGCAAAATGACTTTTGACTAAATGGGCTTCTTCTAGGTCAAATGGTCTTCTCATAGTAGTCCAAATAGGCTCATTGTTAAAGGCCAAATTGGACTTCTCATAATAGATCAAATGGGCTTCAAATATAAGACCAAATTGGGTTTTTGATAGAAGACCAAAAAGGCTTCTCATAGAAGACCAAATGGACCTTCCAGTAGACGTACAAAATGCCTACCTTTTGAAAACCAAATTGACTACTCATAGAAGACCAAATATGCTTATAGTAGAAGACCAAATGAGCTTCTTATAGAGTACCAAATTGACTTCCAAAACAGAAGACCAAAATGCCTTCCTTTAGAAGACCAATTGGCCAAATGGGGACCAAATGCGCTTCTAATTGGAGATCAAATGGGCCTTCTTATTAGAAGACCAAATGGACTACATTGAAGACCTAATGAGCATCCCATAGACGTCCAAATGAGCTTCTCATAGAGGACCAAATTGAGCTCCTTAGCTTCTTATTTAAGACCAAACTGACTTCCTGTAAAAGACTAAATGATCTCCAAATAGAAAACCAAACGAGCTTCTCGCTAGACGTCAACATGGGCCTCCTATAGAAGACCGACAGCAGTTTCCACTGATGGAGGACCAAATTAGCTTCTTATTTAAGACCAAATTGACTTTCTGTAAAAGACTAAATGGTCAAGTAGAGGACCAAATGGTTTTCATATAGAAGACAAGATGGGGCTTTTTATAGAAGACGGCAAAAAGGGCTTCTGAGAGGAAGCTTCGTATAGAATGCCGAAAGGGCTTCAGGCTTTAGGCTTATTATAGAATTCTAAATAGGCCTCTTATTGAAGACCACATTTGGGCTTCTAATAGAACTACTAAATGGACATCTGATTGAAGACTAAATTGGCCGCTTATTGAAGACCAAACAGAACTTCTAATGGGAGACTAAATTACCTTCTTTCAGATGACCAAATTGACTTCCAATAAAAGACCACACTGGGATTATTTTAGAAGACCAAATTGGCCGCTTATTGAAAACCAAAATCTACTTCTTTTGGAAGACTAAATTGACTTCTCTTAGATGACCAAATAGTCTTCCAATGGAAGGCCAGTCTGGGCTTCTTTTAGAAAACAAAATTATCTTTATATAGAGAAGACCAACTGCTCGGTCATCCTGTGGAAGACCTAATGGACTTCATATAAAGAAGAATGAATTGTCAAACGAAATGTTGTCTCCTTTAAGAAGATCAAATGAACCTCCTATTGCAAGCCAATCGGCTTCCTGGACAAGTCCAAAAGTCTTTTGTAAAAAAAATAAAAACCTACACAACCCACCTTTGGTACATTTTTGCGCACATCCCGTCCACCAAAACCACCACCACTGCCAAAGTCACCACCACCGCCTCCGCCACCACTATAGTTCTGCAAGAAATCAGGCACCTCCTGGCCAGCACCCTCTAAAATCTTTACCAAATCCGCAGCAATGGCCGTGTCATTTTCCGGATCAAAGAAGCTGGTGGCACGACCATTATTTCCCACACGTCCTGTGCGACCAATACGATGTACATACTCATCAATGGATGTTGGCAAATCATAATTCACCACATGATTGACATTTTTTATGTCGAGACCGCGAGCAGCCACAGAGGTGGCAATCAAAACCTTCATTTTACCCGATTTAAAATCGGCCAAGGCTTCTTCACGCTGACGCTGTAAACGATCACCGTGTATCGAGGTTGTGGGGAATTCTGTCTCGGACAGTAGTGAGGCCAAGAAATCGGCACCACGTTTTGTCTCCACAAAGACAATGGTGCCATTGGGATTTTCTTGCAAGAGTTCCTAGGGGGGGAAGAGAAAATAAATGATTTTGCAAAGATAAAATCTAAAAAATCTAATTCAAACCCACCATCAATTTGGCCCGCTTCTGATACTTCTTAACCTCATAAATGTTCTGTGTGACATCCGAACAGGCTCCGCCGACCACACCAATGGCAATGAAGATGTACTCATTCAAATATTCCCCAGCCATACGCTGAATCTCGGCCGGGAATGTTGCAGAAAACATAAGATTCTGACGCTGATCCATGCCACGCATTGTGGGATGATTCATAATGGTGGCCACACTCTCCTTGAAACCCATATCCAGCATACGATCCGCCTCATCGAGCACCACAAAACGTGTCTCCTCAAAGGTAATGAAACCCTTTTCCACAAAATCCAATAGACGACCTGGGGTGGCAATCAAAATATGCGTACCACCACGACCAATTTTTTCACCCTGATATTTCGATGAAGTGCCGCCATAAACAATCTGCGTATTAATATACGAATCCATGGCAAATTTACGCGCTTCATTATAAATTTGTATGGCCAATTCACGGGTTGGTGATACAATCAGAGCCTGTGGTTTACCTATTGACGTTTCGCAGCCCTCATTCAACAGCGCGTTGATAATGGGCAGAAGGAAGGCGGCCGTTTTGCCGGACCCCGTTTGGGCACATGCCATTAAATCACGTCCCGAGGATATAACTGGAATGGCGGTTTTTTGGATGGGTGTAGGAAGCTTATAACCGGAACGTTTGACATTATTGAGAACTAATTCACGAAAGCCGGCTTCCTCAAAGCATTGTATGGCCGCAGGGGCATTTTCACCAGTGACCTGTAAAATTAGAAAATCCGCATAAAAATTTGTATTCAAAAAAGAATAAACTCACCTGCACCGGTATACTATCATATTTAGCGAAATTAATACCACTCGTTATGCCACTGCCAAAGATCTCTTCCTCATTGTCGGTGGGTTCGGGTGGTATGTAAAATTCGCGTGGCTTTTGTGGTTCACCGCCATTTTCTCCGCCGTTTTCACCATATTCCGTTTCACCTTTATTATTGTTAAATTCTCGGCGGCCACCACCACCATCACGATCACAACGACCGCGTCCACGTCCACCGCCACCAAAACCGCGACGTTCTCCTGAAAGAAAAAAACGAGACAAATTATTAAGAAAAATCAAATGATTTCGTATAGAAAGACAAAAAGGGCTTCACACAGAAGAATACCAAATTGATCCAAAAAAGTTCCTTAAAGAAGAACAACAAATGGTCCTCGCGTTATATAGGTTACCTTATAGATTACCAAATGTGCTTCATAATGGAAGACCATCTAGGCATCTTAACGAAGACTAAATGGGGTTTTTTAGTAAAACAAATGTGGATCGATTTTCTACAACACCTTATAGAAGGCCAAATGGGCTTTTTATAGACGTGCAAATGGGGTTTCTTACAGAAGACCAAACGGTTGTCCTATAGAAGACCAAATGGGCTTCTCATCAAAGACCAAATGGACTTCTTAAGAAAACCCAATCGGCTTCTTATAGCAAAACAAATCGGTTTTTTATAGAAGACCAAATGAGTTACGTATGGAAGACCAAATGGACTTGTTATCGAAGACCAAATGTGCCTTCCAATAGAAGAAATAAAATGGCTTCTCATAGAATACCAAATGGTCTTCTTATCGTAGACCAAATGGTCTTCTTGTAGGCAACCTAATAGACTTCCTTTAGAAATCCAAATGAATTTCTAATAGAAAACCGCCTTCGGAGAGCAGAGTTGAAATGACCGAGTGCCTATGATCCCTGGGCCGACGAGGCGAGAATGACGCCCCTATATAACCATCTCAAAAGGTCTGCGTCACTACCTTTTTAAAGTGTCCCCGCTAACGCTGGGGTGTTATGCGACCTCGAACCCCCTCAAGTGTTGACGACCCAAGCTACCCCCTGGACCTCTCTTTTGCCTCTTGTCTCACTTTCGACGGCGTTAACGAAAGCCAGGAGAGGCAGTCAGATCTTCTCCTCAACTTTGTGGAGGAAACCGGCTCCTTCCGCCTTAGTCAGGAGAGCATCCCGAATCAGCTCTGGGATAACTCGCCCTTGTCAGACGAGGAAGACATCATGGAAACTACGGTGATTAGCACTACGGTGAAAAACACAGTAGCGACCATGGCGTCTCTTCCGTAGCAAGGAGAGTCCTCCCAGTTGCCTGACTAGGGAAGTAAACCCTGGCAAGGTTGAAGATCTGCACTCAATCTCCACGGCCTTTATTGATGTCACGAGACTACTCAGGCAGTTGACTGTCGAAACGGATACTGGTACTGATGAGAACCCCGTCGATAAGATGGATGATTCATCAGTACCAGTAACTGCTAGGCAAGTCGATGCCAAAGGGAACGCTACCAAGAAGATGTACCGGAGAGCAGTTTACTATTGTAACCGATGCGTCGGAAGGGACAGCGACTCCATCACAGGAAAGGAGTTCCTCAAAAGCAGTTCATGATTGGCAAGTCCGCTCTGAATGATATACGACAGATAGCTTATGTTGGGTTCCAGGACATAGTGACATTGAAGGGAATGAGTTAGCCGACGAGCTTGCTCGAGGGGGCTCACAGTCGTCCAATCCTCCGATTGAGAGATCTGTGAAACCCCTCCCATTGGCTATTACATTGCCAGAATCCGCTCGTTCTACTGCGAGATAGTCGGCAACAGATGGTTGATGAGAGAAGATGCTTGCAGAATATTAAAATCTATTTGGCCTGAATTCTCTCGCAAAAGAACGCCTTCGATGCTAGCCACAATAAAAGAGAGAGAGAGAGACCAAAATCATTTTGGGGATCACAACAGGCCACTGCAAGATTATATCCCTCACTTCGAAGTGGGACTCCAGCGGAAAGGATTACTGTCGTCTATGTGAGGACGAAGAAGAACTAGAAACAATTGAACATATCCTCTGTAAATGTCCATCGCTGATTAGCAGAAGACATAAACAGTTTGGAAGATAAGAAATTGATAATCTAGCCTTCATCTCTAAAATGGAGCCAAACCAGATCCTAGGCTTTATCAAAAATTTTACATGGCTAAAATAACCATTTCTCAGCTCTTCTTCTCTCGCTATCTCTTCTCCTTGCACCTCCACTCTCTCCTTTCTTCTCTTTGCAGGTAAAAAAGGATGATCACAATATGGACATTACTCTCCGAGTGGACGGTTGTTACTAACAACCGTATATTCCGAACCTAACCTAATAAACATAACCTCAAAAATAATAATAATAAAATACCAAAAAAACAATGCATGTACAGAAAAATTAGTATCAATACCAGGATTTAATATTTAAATAAAAATTTATATAAAATTCAAATTGTAAAAAAACACACATTAAACATAACCTCAACAAAAACATATAAATATAATACAGACACGACACGGCAACACAAGTACGAAAACCGACGCCTTGAATTACAATACGAAGTCAGAACCATCCATACACATTTTAAAATTTGAAATAAAATTTATTTCAAATTTAAATTTAAAAAACAAAAAATTAAACATAACCTCAAAATTGAAAAACAAAACACAAAGAAATCAAAATTCAATAACAAAGCATTCGCAGTGACTTAGACCAAAATATAATACAGACAAATTAGTAGCAAAACACAGATCAAAATAAAAAATATATATGTTATAAGAAAAATTAGTATCAAACACATATTTAAATAAAAAATTAATTCCATTTCAAAAAATTAAACATAACCTCAAAAAAAATTCCACACGAGATTGAAAGAAAATTCAATTCAAAACCAATTTAAAACTAAAATAAGCCGATAGTACGACCATCACTACTCAACGATATAAATCCGGCCGCCTTGAGTTCCAATACAAAGGCAAATCCCATTGCGGCCGATATGCGATCTTCGATACAGGTTAATTTGGTGAAATCGAATGAATTCTGCCGCATTAGATTCTGCAAAATATTGAGTTTAATATTGATACGTTTGCGTGGTGCATTCAATAGGTTTTGAATATCAATTTTGCGATAATTTCCACCATGAGCACCCTCCCCATTCTCATCATTCTGCTGCTGCTCCTCCTCCCCCTCCTTTTCAATGAGAGGTATGTGTTGACCTAAAAGGGTATAACAGGTATCAAGGTTATCCCAAACTTTGGCGAGATCTGCGGTATTTTCTCGCACAAATTGATGATAAACCGACGACGATGATGATGATTCCGGCTGTGAGCAGGGGGCGGCGGCCGCCATTTGGGGTGATGGTATTTCTTCAGGAATACCGGCGGTTTCAGTTTTGGGTATAAAACTTGTAAACAAGGCCTCCATCAAAGCAGCTTTGGATAGAGTACTGCTGTCGGGGACGACGGCAGCGGCGGAAACGGCAGCCCCACCACCACTGGTGGTGTTTGGTTCCTCCTCTTCATCCAGATTCAAACGTCTGGGTTCTAGTGGCCGCTTAATGCGAGGACGTCGTCGGCGGCGTGGAGCCATTGTCGTGTTATTGTAGTTGACATTTTGTTGCCTCGCCCTGAGTATGGATAACCAATCGCGGTACCAACCGGCATCCTCACCACCACTCCTACTACCTCCTGCTGCTGCTCCTCCTCCAGCAGTTGCATTTGACGAATGCTGGCTGGTTTGCGACATCGTTGCCATTACTTCGGGAATTGCTGCCATTTGCTGTTGTTGTTGCGGATCTTGGGATGGTGGTGGCAGTGGAAACTCTTCCGTTATTCGGCGTAGTTGTGAGGAAGAGATCAGACCAGCTGCGGTGTGTATATCAATTGTTTTGGACAATGATGGACGTCGTGGAATTGGCCCTAAATTTGTTTCAGGTCGGCGAATTGGTGTTGACTCGGACAAGGTTTGCCGCTGTAAATTTGCCCGGAATTGTTCTTCATTGCCGGCTGAGGAGGATAATGTGCCAATACCGGCATCGGTGGTATGTGAATAAAAATTGGCAGCCGTCATTGGTACTTTGTTATCGGCGCTAAGGTTAGCCCCCACCCCACTATCAGGTGTTGGCCTTGGCTGCAATGGATTATAGAGGGTTTTATCCAAAGTGGTCGATGATACTGCTCCACTGTCTGGGGTAGGAATTGGCGGCGGCGGCCTCAATGTACCTGAAGAAAGTGATTCATCCGCCAGAACTGACTGTGGTGGTAGTGGCTGCGGAGGTGGCATTAGCATTTCATCTGCCAGGTTCGGCGGCTGTGGCATTGTACCATTTAATGTTTCCGCCGCCAATGGAGGTAGGGATTGCTGATCTAATATGCCCGCAGCTCCAGATTCTTGCAGACTTGATTGTGGTGGTAATAGTGGTGATGGTGGAGGCTGGAGAAAATTTGAATCCAATTGTAGATCTCCGTTGCTTTGGTCTCTATTTTTGAGGGACAGGTGGGAAAAATTGTTGATCAGAAAAAAATATCGGCCCATAATTACACGACCGTACACTACGAGGCGAGGGGAACGTGGAGGAAGGAAAGGCATGCAATTGTAAAATGTACCAATTTCGTGAGAGACAGGTGTATGGGAGGTGGTTGGTTGGGAAAAAGAATATTTTTTTTTCAAGGCCTAGAGAAAAGGTGTGGCGCCGTTTTTTAAATATTTTTTTTCAAGCCCTAGATTTTTTAAATAATTTTTTTCAAAAGCCCAGACAAGGTGGGGATTTTTTAAATGACCCATCCTGAAACGAAGTTAGTTTTGTAGTTTTGGCTTGTTGCGATATTTATTGGCCAGATGGCTTTTTCGTGGCAATAAAATAAATAAAAATAAAAATAAATAAATAAATTTCCCTCACAATCCCTAAGATACGCCACCCCCGGTGGGTCAACCGCTACTCTTGCGACCATCCCCCCTCCATCCTCGTTACAAGGAGCTAGATTGACAACAGTCCAGCTCCATGTAGTGAGACTGGGATTTTGCAGCGCCAACATTTGCAGCAGGAGTTCCTTCTCCACTGAAGGTGGATAGAACCCCTCTGGTTGGGGGGATTTCGGATAGGGATATCGCAAGCAAGGTTGGCTCCTTCCCAGAGCGCACCAAAGCCGCCAACGGTCTTCAGAAGGAAATCCTTAGATTTCTTGTTCAGACAGTTGATGACTTTGGCAACCTTTTCAATGAAGGCACTACCAAATTGACGATCCCCTTGGTCCGACCCACAGACGATGGCCGACCGAAGGGCTCCTTCAAAGAGCAACCAATGACTGTCACTGATCCTGCCATAAGGATCAGATTTGTCAATGGTTGCCATTGACTGTCATATGGCTTACGCTGTCTTTGGCTACGAACTTTGGAGTTCGCCTTTCTACCACTGTTGTGCGAGCAGTAAGATTCGGGAGGGAGATCCTGAACATCTCGAGTTCACGATGGAGAGCGTGCGGATAGATTCTTTCGAACTTTTTTACGTATCTCATCTTACCTTTGATGAGGTGTACCTCCCTCTCCGAGATCAAATTCGCGTCTCGCCCCACGAATTTGCGGAGATACGAAGCAGCACGTTTGTAATGTTTCGCATCAGCTACTTCTCGGGCATTCCCAACCTTTGAGCCGCTGTCCGTTGCTGGGGTCTCGACAAATTTCCCATCGTCGGACATCGCCTCCGTCGCAGATTGCCTCTGAAGTTTATTGTCGGCAGGTGCCGACACAGGACCTGTTGTAATCAGACTTGAAATCGATCGGTCAATAGGGTCTGCGCTTCCTTCGTTAGTACTACAACAATCACCCTGTGTAGAATTGGCTGGGAGCACCGCGATGTCCTTCAGCTCATCATCAGTTAGGATAGCAGTTTCTCCGGAAGCGTATCCCCATATTGCTCTTCCGGTATCAGTATATCTAACAGGTCAAAGGTTCCTTACTTTGCTCCTCTCGACTATCGCGGATAGCGTTTAGATTCCCCTCCAGTTCGTCCCCTCCCAGAAAAAAATTATTTAAGAAATTGTAGGACTTATATAGGGGTTGAAAAAAAATTATTTAAAAAAACCACGCCTTGAAGAGGATGAGAGAGAATCAATAAATGAGAATCAACTACTCTACTCAGGATTGACCTTATAAAAAGAGTGTGAAGAGGAGGAAGGGGGAGGGGAAGATGGAATACCAACAACAACAAAAATAATCATTGAAATTTACCCCCTAGCCTGGAATGATGATGTTCCGCCAAAGTC